CCCATGGACCTCTCCTGAGAGACATCCCAGGCCAGGCAGGGCCCCTGTCACATGTGGCCTGCACTCCAAGTGTGCCCCTGCTGACAGTGACCTGGGTGTGCTGTGATGAGCTGTTTGAATGTGCCAAGAGGTCCCTGACCTACTATGCCAGGGGCAGACAAAGATGGCTCATGGGCTGAATCCATCAGGCTCTGGCAGCCTACTAATTCTGGAAGAGACACGGTGGGCCTTGCCAGGGTCTGTCAGGCCCAGGATCTGGTCTAACTGCCACTCGGAAGGCAAGGACCTGCAGGCAGCCCCAGAGCAAAGATTATGATCCCTGACACAGACCCCCATGGATCTACAGGGCCTTGACCTTCATGTAATACAGGCAACTGGGAAGCTGGTAACTGTGTTCCCATATGTGCTCCACCATGGCAGCATATATGTGTGTGCTGGCCTGGTGGTTCAGCCAAACTGCCGCTGAACCTGCATGTCACTTCAGATTGCGATAACATCCGTGGTCTTGTGCTCAATCTAGTTTGGCCCCAGGGCCACTGTCTCTGCCCTTGGGGAGGCTGACATGGCAGCTCCTGCCAGGGGACTTGGGGCTCAGGGTGCGGCTCTGGGTGCTGGCATAGGCTGGCACATGCCAACCGGGGTGCGACTTGGTGCCCAGGAGGCAGACTGTGCCCATGTGGAGTCCTGGGGGCCAGAGATGGAGTCTTCAAGGCTCCAAGGCCCAGCACATGCTTGTAGTGATATGAGGCACAGAGGTCACAGGGCAGGTAGCTACTAGCATAGGCCCTGGGGTCCATGGGGATGCAGTGCTTGATATGTGTCTGCACTGCTGGGGCACAGTCCCAGGGGATCAGGACAGGAGTCTGGAGGCCAGCTTGAGAAAGCCAATGAGTTATCCCTGCCATTTTGCTGCACAGTCTGCCAGCCACTTGGGTCTACACCAAGCAGGAGGCTGGCCCTGTCCTCCTGTGGCTGACTGTGCAGTTTGCACCCAATGTCAGTGTCTACACATTTGCTACTGTGCATTAGTTAATGCACCGTTTTTATACTACCTGTATGTATTGGTACTAGCAAAAAGTGTATTAGACTAATTTAATGCACAGTAATTGCTGTGCACGTGTAGATGGTGATGCTTTACTGTGCATTAAGATTAGTCTCAGGAAAATGCACCCATTGTGTATGACGTAAACATAGCACTGATGTAACCTCAGGATATAGACTTAGCTGAGGTGGGGGCTCTGTCTACTGAAGTTTTTACAATTTATAACTTCTTGGTCTGACTACCTCCTAATTATGGAGATCACTTAAGCTATAATACTTCCAGTTCAGGAGGTAATGTATGCAGAGCAGGCCTGGTGTGTCTTAGCACAGCTACCCTGGAACCATACTAAGGTGATCAGAATCAGACTCAAGGTGGCTTTGTTTCTCCTGTCCCTCTCCTCAGATTTGGAGCCTAAAACACACTTGCTGAAAGGCAACAAAAGGCAAGCCCAGAAGTGCTGAATTGCAACTAGAGGAATGACAGAGAGCAATTATAGCTGTCCAAGAGAGAAGAATTAATACATCAGCCCAATGTGAAGCTCATATTTCGGGCAAAGTATTTTTGCACAGGCAAGTCTCTACATCAATTTCCCAGCTATTTGATTCATAGGAAAACAGTATTGCAGAAAACATAGAAAGGAAAATAAAGACTCTAGGGATACTTTATCAGTTTAAATAGTATTATACTCATGTGCAGTGAGGCTGCTGGAGTTGAGCTGCCAGTAGAAGTGAAAAGGAGCTGTTTTTTAAGTAGAGAAATATTAAAGATATGTGAATAAAGAATGTTGAGTTGATGAAATGAATCTGCCACTTTATTTTCTTTTGTCTAAATAATGCCTCATGAGGCGATTGGAGAGGAGAGGGTGATCAGTGCCTTATTCAATATGAGGAGGAGGGGAAAAAATCTAGTGAAGCTTGGATGGTATGTCGCTACTCAGTGAACGAGAGTGCCATGGCTGTGATGGATGGGGAGATTGGCTAGCATTAGGGAGAGTGTAAAGGGCCATGGTAATGTCTATTAAAGCAATCTATTTCCTCAGACTCATCTGGCACTCACTCTTTGTCACTACACTTGTTACTTACTGTTGACATTAAATGCCAGAGAACTTGAAAGAGTTTGAGCAGAGACAAAAAATCCCTACTAAGAAGAAAGTGTAAAACAGTAGGAGAAACATGTTGGCTTCATCCTGAGTGAACATTAAATACACTTTACATTTGTCTAAAGAGACAGTTAATGGGGAAACAGGTACTTTAATTGAACAGGCTGAGAGCTTCATGCAGCTGCAAATAACAAACGCTTAGGAAAAAGCCGTTTTTCTATGTAGGGATCCTAATCTGGATGAAGGGAGGAAGCATTTCTTCCTGAAAATTAACAGAGAGTGCAATTGGATGGTGGAGAGAACTGAACATTATTTTTCCCCCTACAGCTCTATTTCAAGCAGCATAAAAGGGACTTGGAGCAGGCATTCTGCCCAAAATAGGCCTAAGGCAACATAAAGGAGGTGGATTATTTTTGTTTTGATTTCTTTTACAGCTCTCTGGAAGCCTGAGGGCATAACAACTGGTGTATTCAAGTAGTCTAGGTCACCAGAACCCGCCATAGATTAGGCTGATTTTCACTCACTAGCAGTGCTTTTTGTCATTAGCTGCTGTATAAGTGTTAACATTCATTTGTGTAATAGTATTTCATAATTTTGTTGCACTTTGCACTGAAAGATCCAAATGTACTCTTAAAATCATCCACTGATTTTGCTTTACAGCACCAGTTACAGCAGGTTCAGCATTACTGAACCTAATACACTATCACTATCCTTGGGCTATAATTGACACTAGTGTAAGATGAACACAAAAAGTTACAGAATTCTTATATAATAAAGGGCTTAGTCCATCTGTCTGTCTGTGATACTCTTGGAGCACTCTGATTGATGAGTGAAGCAACCAATCAGAGTGCAGAGTGCTGCCATGACGGCAGGGATGGAAGAGACGGAGCCGGGGGGGAGAGGCCAGCAGCATTGGCCTTGTCACGCACTCCATCCCTGCCATCATGGTGATGCTCCACTGCCTCCGAGGAGCAGGGCTGTGGCTCGGGGGAGGTAAGGCCAGTGGTGCTGGATGTGTAAGTGGCACAGGGTACTGGTGCAGGAGGACAGAGGGGATGGTGGGGCAAGCTTCCCCCCTCCCCCCACTCATGGAAGATGGCAGAGGTGCAGGGTGGTGGGTGCTGACACTCTCTGCACCCCCTCCCCTGTCATTCCTGAAGGGTAATTGGTTAGTTAGAATAATAATGTTTTGCACACTGACCATTAGTTAATTCATTAATAAAAGTTCAGAAGACCAGTCTACCACAGCTCAAATAGTTTATTGTCTAGGATAATAAAGGATCTTAACCAATGAATAACATCAGTATATTAACAATCCTGGTCTGTTGCAGGCAACATCATATTCCTATACAGCTTAATAGGGCAAGGTCAACATACAGCATCATACAGCCCACTTTTATAGCCAGCTTGTTTACAATACACCATCGTATAAAAATAACTTTATCATGTGCACTTATGTCAAAAAGAAAACCTTACAAAATCCCACAGTGCCAGGCATACAAATTATTTTTATTAGTAAACATCTGGCATTATGCAAGCATGATGAGACCCACACCAGGCAGGAACTAGGCCTACACCAAACAATTCTTAAACAAAAATAAATAAGATAACAATCACTAAGGCCCTTAACATAGATGATAAAACATTCTGGGAGGTTGGCTCACTACTACATTAATGAGCAGTACACATCCTTGATGATCAGGATGGGTTCAGAAGAGGGGCAAACTGAGGTGCTCTGGGTTAGAATGCAAAGGGGTCATGGTACAAGGGACTTGGTAGTGGGCATCTATTACAGACTGCCTCAACAGGGGGATGAGCTGGACCTGCAATTTTCAGGTCTGCTCATGGAGGCTGTAAGGACAAGGGATGTGGTTGTCATGGGTGACCTAAACTACCCAGACATCTGCTGGGAGGATCAGCCAGCCAGGTCTGAACGCTCATGCAGGATCTTAGCCTGCATACAGGTCCTCCACCTAACCCAGGAGGTACATAATCCCACCAGAGGAAATGCCTTGCTGGACTTGGTACTTGCCACAAATACTAACCTGGTGAGGAATCTGCGGGTGCTCAACTACCTAGGTGATAGTGACCATTGTCTGCTGGAATTTACTACTTGGCACAGGGTGGTGAAAGCAAGCAGTAAGGCAAAAGTCCTTGACTTCAGGAGGGCTGACTTCAATGAGCTAAGGAGATTAGTAAGAGAATTGGGGACTCAGAGCTTCAATGAGATGGAAGTCCACAATGGGTGGTTGTTCCTTAAGGAGAGGATCCTCCAAGCTCAGAGGGAGTCAGTCCCAATGCAAACCAAAGGGGGCAAGAGTTCTAAAAAGCTCCATTGTCTCAGTAAAGGCATCCAGGAAGGCCTGAAGGCAAAAAAGGTGGCATACAATCAGTGGAAGCAAGGGGCAATCACCAAGGAGGATTACACCTCCATTCCTCGCGCTTGCAGGGAGGTGGCTAGGAAGGCCAAGGCAGAGATGGAACTAGGGCTAGAGACCAGTATTAAGGATAACAAAAAGTCCTTTTTCAAATACATAGGGAGTAAGAAGAAGGCACCGTGAAATGTGGGGTCCCTAGAGAACAGGCTTGGCAATCTGATGATTGCAACAAAGGGAAAAGCTGATCTCTTCAATGAGTTCTTTGCCTCCATATTTCTGAGCAGGGACTGAGGCAACTCCCCAACTAGTATTATGGTGAGTCTCAGGGGACACGATGCCATGCCTAGGGTCAGGGATGATTTAGTTAGGGAACCCTTGGAGGGGCTGAACATATATAAATCAGCAGGTCTGGTTGCTCTTCATCCAAGGGTACTGAGGGAATTGGTGGAGGTCATAGCAGGGCCACTGGCACAGCTGTATGAGCACTCGTGCTGCTCTGGCCAGGTTGCAGAGGACTGGAAAAGGGCCAGTGTGGTCCCCATTTACAAGAAGGGGAGAAAAGAAGACCTGGGTAACTATAGGCCAGTTAGTCTCACCTCAGTCCTTGGGAAGACCGTGGAGAAAATTATCAAGGAACACATCTGTGGGGGCCCAGCATGGGAGGTAATGCTCGGGGCAACCAACACGGGCTCATTGCAGGAAGATCCTGCTTGACTAACCTTGTTCCCTTTTATGACCAGGTCACAAAGTTCTTGGATGTGGGTATTGATGTGGATGTTGTCTACCTGGACTTCAAGAAGGCCTTTGACACTGTCTCTCACTCCATTCTCACAACAAAACTAGGCAACTGTGGCTTTGATGCCTACACAGTCAGATGGGTGGCAAATTGTCTCGATGGTCACACCCAGAGAGTGGTGGTGGACAGGAAATTTTCAACCTGGAGGGATGTGGGCACTGGAGTTCTCCAGGGCTCAGTATTTGGGCATGTGCTATTCAATATCTTTATCAGTGACTTGGAGGTGGGTGTGGAAAGCACACTGTCCAAATTTGCTGATGACACATAGATGTTGGGTGAAGTGGGCACACTGGAGGGGAGAGACAGAATCCAACTAGATCTAGACAGGTTACAGAGGTGGGAAGATAGGAGCAGAATGGAATTCAGTGCAGACAAGTGCAAGGTGCTACATCTAGGGAGAAGGAATCTACAACATACCTATAGGCTTGGGAATACCCTTCTCAACAACACAGTGGATGAAAGGGATCTTGGAGTCATTGTTGACTCCAGGATGGACATGAGCCGCCAATGCGAGGAAGCGGTCAGTAAGGCTAACTACACCTTGTTGTGCATCTACAGATGCATCACAAGCAGGTCCAGAGGTGATCATTCCCCTCTATGCGGTGCTGGTCAGTTGGAGTACTGCATCCAGTTCTGGGCGTTGCACTTCAAGAGGGATGTAGCTAACCTTGAGAGGGTCCAGAGGAAGACCACTCACATGGTCAGGGGGCAGCAGGCCAGGTTCTATGAAGATAGACTAAAGGGCCTGAATCTATTCAGCCTCCACAAGATAAGACTGAGAGGGGATCTGGTGGCCATCTATAAACCCACCAGGGGGACCAGTGGAAAATAGGTGACGCTTTGTTCCCCCAGGCACCACCTGGGATAACAAGGAATAACAGCCACAAATTGATTAAGAGCAGGTTCAGGCTTGATATCAGGAGGCATTACTTTATGGTTAGGGCTGCCAGGCTCTGGAATGGGCTCCCAAGGGAGGTGGTGATCTCCCCTACCTTGAGGGTCTTCAAGAGGAGATTGGATAGATATCTGTCTGGGGTATCATGATCCCAGCACTCGTTCCTGCCCAGGGCAGGGGGTCAGGGTTGATGATCTGTTCAGGTCCCTTCTGACCATAGAAATTATGAAACTAGAGGTGAACTGATACATTGGTCTCATATCAGATCAGCACTGATATAAGGAAAATTACTGTATTGGCAGTCAGCTTTTTTTGGCTTATGTGGCCAATAATGTTGTAGATAAATGTTGCGCACATGCGCAGCCACAGTGCAGCATGCAGGTGGCCAGGAGAGCAGCCTGGCAGCATGGAGAGCAGTCGGGTCCAGCTGGCAAGTCTGTTGAGGGGGAAGGGGTGAGGGGGGAGGGAAGGGAGACATAGGGCAGGGCAGACTGAAGTCCCTGCAGTGAGGGATGGAGTTGGGTGGGAGCAGGGGCAGGCACTTCCTATCTGGGGCTGGGAGTGGGACTGAGCTGTGTGCAGGTGAGAGCAGCTCCCACCATTATGTGCACCCCAGGAGGGCCTATGCCCCCAGATCTGTGCATGGGGAGAGGGCGGGCTGCCACTGCGACCTGGGACCAGGGCAGTGTCGGGCTGTTCCCAGAAGGGGTGTTGAACTAGGCTGTACTCAGGGCAGGCAGCAGCACTGAGGGAGGGTTTCAGAGACTATGGAGAATTTTGTAGTGGCTGCAGTTCCTTCTGTAGCCCTGCTCCCAGCACAGCCACTGCCCTCCTGCCCCAAGCACAGCCAGGCTTAGCTTCCACCAGGAAGAGCCGAGCACAGCCCTGGGCCTAGCCCACAGTAGCAGCCTGCCCTGCCCTGTGCACAGATCCAGGGGCACACACCCTCCATGCCCTCCTGTGGTGCATGCAGCAGTGGAAGTCACCACCCCCTCCCCGCCCACCTGGACAAACTGCTTGTGGCTCCATCCCATACCCCACCCCAGCTGGGCAGCTCCTGCCCCTGCCCTAGCTCCAGTTTGACTTCTTCCCTGACCGCGGAGCCTCAATCTGCACCCCGCAATGCACTTTCTCTCCCCCCTTTCCCCACAACAGACTTACCAGCTGGATGCTGGTCTCCAAGCTGCCCAGCTGCTTATTGACAATCGGATTGGTGTTGGCCAATATGGCTTGTTAAAAACCGCCCATCGGTATTGGCCCAAAAAATCTCTATCCCTTCTCATTACTGAACATGAAGCTAAAAGACATTATTCTGATATATATGTAAGCTAAAATAGATTTCATCTGTCCACACCCACCTTCTCATTGATTTAAATAACAGCAGACAGTACAGAGGAATGGTGCATGGGGGCATTACCATGGTGGAGAAACTCAAGCACAGAAACTCTGAGTTTCTTACCAAAAGTTACCTAGGAAATGTGAGGTAGAGTCAGATCTGGAATGCAACTCTCCTGAGCTTAGTACCATGCTTCAATCATGAGATGGTCCTTTCTTAGATCAGGGTCTGATAGGCTTCTATTACTG